GATGATATTGCTATAATCATGTAGTGAAAAGCTTTTCATTTTTTTAGGCTAAAACAGTGCTTCAGATTGAACAGATTGTGGTCATCAAATTTGCTTAGAAATGATTGGGAATTTCAGGACTGATTTCAATTTCGAGAATAATCAGTGGTGTACCATCAATGTCTGCCAAAATAGGTATGTACAATTCCATACGAATGCCACTGGTGACAACCAAGAAATATGTGGTAAACTTACTGATGCCTCTTGATACATAGTACATGTACGCCAAATTTCATTAGAATATCTGAAGTGGTATTACAGATATTAATCAAAAACTGTTAATTTTTAAGAACTTTACCACCTCAAAAAGTTTGGAAGTTTAGATCATAAGTTCATATGAAACTTTTTTCTTAGAATGGGCTCAAGAATAGCCTCCCCCAATATTGACATCCAATTATGAAACACCCTGTATACGCTTCTCCAAGAAATTAACGCTCGACCAAAAAGTAGCCAAAAGGTTAGGAAACATTCTCGTCAAAACTACAGTCACTAGATGGTATTAGACGATGAGTCAAAAATATTCGCGAGAATCAATGTTACCAGGTGGCGCTCGATTTTCATCGTTCCATGTCGAAGCCACGTCAAAACTGGGGGAAAACAAACTGAATCCTCACTCAATCCCATAAGTGCCTTTAGCTTGTGTACTGTGTACTGAAGAGAGTGATAAGTTTTTGAATTTCATGACATTGATTGTCAATATTCGATCGAAAACGCCTGTTGTAGATGTTCTTTTGGCAGATATTTTGCTCTATTTAGATGGAAAAAGCCGACCAGTAGTAGAAGGAAAAGGAGTTCTTCGTGCTAATCATGTGATTTTGTAGGAGGCAGAAGACTTCAATAAAAGGCACATTTCTGCACTTTGTCTACGAACTTCGGCGATGAAATCTTTCCCACATGAAGTAAAATTGAAGTTGGGGTCCAGAGGAACTCCTGTAGAGCAATCGATTAGTATTTATTTTGTTTCTGCAAAGCAGGACAATCTGGGTATTGTGAACATGTTGTAGCTGTTTCTTTATATGTGCTCGTCATAATTAGTTTGAATTGTTTGAACTATCTCCAATTCTTCACCCGTTCACTATTCACTAAACTAATAAAAATGTAATAATCTAAAAAACTAACCAAATCAATCATCATCACTACCAACAGTGCCAACACTTTATGTCATTGAAAAGTTCGAGACAGCTACAGCAAGCTGAATGCAATGTAGTCTATGCACTTTATCCATAGACAACAGTTTGTTTTCCCCCAGTTTGAAGTTCGTATTATGTAACCTAGATGTCGCCCACTTCGTGAATTTCGCGAATACTTGTCCGATTTGGACGTTTTCTATTTTGAATGATAAACCATTTCCTTCTGAACATTGGTGTGCACCCTGTATTGGCATAAAAACCCCTTCTTCTTACATAGTGGGGAACAAATACGTGTTTGTTCATGAAATTTGTAATACTACGATTGATTCGAAATTATAATTCACCCTTATTTTTTTTCCAAATTCCTTTCCTGGATTCACTCCATTATCTGCCCTATTACTCGAGAAAAACCATTTCATAGCGTGACATGATTTTATGGATAATCAATATCCAAATTAAACAACAAAAAAACGGAGCAGAATACAACATTTTCAGGAACATTCATTGACAGATCTTTATCTTGGAATATTCACATTGACCATGTCCGTAATTGACTGAAGAAAGCTTTTTTTAGCACTCTTACAACTTTGGGATGTTTTGAGTGACTCGAGTCTTGTATCTGTATATTATGCATTGGCATATTCACATATATCTCGAATTGTCCAGATTTGGGAGAAATCTGAAGATGTTCAAAGAATATTCATTATCCAAACAAAAATTGTGAGGCTAATGTTCAAGTTGGATTGCTGGTCCTCAAGTTCTCTTCCTACTAAAAGACACTCGCTTTTTCACATGGAATATAGTATTGAGTCATATATAATATACTTTCGAAGTTAGCCAAGATTAAACAGTATTATATCGTTAACCTTCTTCGAGCAAAAGATTATAAATATGGAGTTAATATTGTTGAAGAAACTCAACATGTGTGGACAAATTACAGTTTTTCCGAGCTAGAGAATATTATGAAGCTGATATTGTTATAGAAAATTTGTAGCTAAGGACTTATACAGTTCTCAGTGCCTGTAGTATGTGGGACAAATCCATGTCAGGACGTGAGGCAAATCAAATGGCTTCTTGGGATAGGTTAGGTCTACGTTGGGTCAGCTCTTCGTTGGGTTAAGTTAGGTTAGGTGAACGTTGAGAGACTTCAAGTGAGAGCGTAAAAGAGATTATTATCTGGTCAGATAACTCCCAATCCCAAAACATTAACATGATTATGATAATGGAATAATTTCGGATCTTAAAACAGTATCCGAATATAAAAGAGATTGCTGCACTGATGAGAGTCAAAGATCTCGAAACCGGTCTGTGGTTGTCTAGCGGCCTGGCTTAATCAAAAGCAATAGGCATTCAGGAAAGAATCACTTGTATCAGTATTCGTATATAGGAGTCGATGCATAGATTTCGGGAGGATGTAATTCAATATCCTGCGTGGCATTAGCCAGGGAAGTAGTTATTTTTCTCCCGAAATCTACCATTGTTGTTCATTTTATGAACACTGTGTGGAAATGACTTTGAGCTTTTTACATTTATTCAACATTTCATTCCATTGTGAGCATTGTGGCTATTTCGTAGTTGATATTACGCCAGTCGGGTTGCCAGCCACTCCCGTATGGGAATTCCAGTTTTGGAGTGATTCTTTCCTCGGTTCTACTCAGATGGCGTTACTTTCATTTTATCGATGAAAGACGCCTCGGGCTGGACATAATGCCAACTTGATTTTTGTTTGGCTAGGCTTCGCTGAGTCGGCGGTCTTAGGACTGCTGGCTGGAGACTACACTGCACTGATGAGAGTCAAAGAGCTCGAAACCGGTCTGTGGTTGTCTAGCAGCCTGGCTTAATCGAAATCAATAGGCATTCAGGAAAGAAACACTTGTATCAGGATTCGTATTTACGAGTCGATGCATAGATTTCGGGACGATGTAATTCAATATCCTGCGTGGCATTAGCCAGGGAAGTAGTTGTTTTTCTCCCGAAATCTACCATTGTTGTTCATTTTATGAACACTGCGTGTGGAAATGACTTCGAGCTTTTTACATTTATTCAACATTTCTTTTCCACTGTGAGCATTGTGGCTATTTCGTAGTTGAATTGAATTGATTCGATTTTAGTTTCCTCCAACTTCAAAAAATAAGGAGGTTTGAACTTTGAAATGCGTTTTTCTCGAAACTTACTTTTTGTGACATTACCCCTTTTTTCCCTGTGGTCTTCATTCGTTACACTCCACATGGTATTACAAATTTCATGAAAAAAACACGCTAGAATTGCTACATCTAGTATTCATATAAAAAAAGTTCTTATGCGGATACAGTTTACACGCCAATATTCGGAATAGTTCAAATCAGACAAGTACTTTCGACGAAAATGTATCTCAAATTTTGTATACTATTTGGTGGTGCATTAATTTTCGAGGGCAGTGTAGTATATGTGTATTTATCGCGATCATCTTTTTCCGATTTACTGGCTGAGACTATTCTGAGATACAGAATAATTCGGTAAAACAAGAAACAGATCCTGAATGTACCTACTACCTGAATGATAATTACGACTTCATATGCTTCAAACTTCTTAGCGGAGATGGAATGAATCTGTCGCATGCACTGTCAAATATTTGAACTATGCCGATTGTGAATAGAAACCATCTGATGTGAGTTTGTGTATTTTGACAATTATAGTCATTCCACGGAGTTTTGCCAACTCTAACTCAACTTTAGCGGACCGAAGTTCACTTGTACACTTCCATTACGACGAAGCAGATCCTCACATTTTGAGATGTGATCATCTTAATCTACAATAGACGTCCAATTATATAAGGGGTTATACCTGAGAATAGTTCTGAAGAACAATTTATGAAGCTAGATGATAGATTATGGCGAAATAATTGAAATAACTTCTCAAGGAATTTATGAATCGTATTGCTCAATGTCTCTGCCCATGTAGCACACATATATTTAGACAATATCGGTACAATATTACTAAAACGTCGGCAAGATATTGTGAACGTGATATTGGGGAGAAACAAAATGTGAACATCTGATATTGGTACAAATTGAACAATTGTACAATATTAGTTTCAAAATGTCGTCTTGAAAACATTGAGAAATATTTGCATATCAATATTTGTTGAATATTCTTAGGTATACGCGGGTATACGGTATATATTGGTCATGAAAAGTGAAATATTGGTGGATCATTGAAAATTATGTTGCTATATTCTCCTCCTTGAGAATATTGGTAGTATATCAATATTTTCAATCATCTCGAACCAATATTTCTATTCTCTCGTGTTTCAGATTCCAAGAAACATCCATACAAAATGTAATCACAATGTTGCCAGTTGTTTCAACATAATCGTAAAAAAAGTGTACAAAGAATATTGTTTCAACACCTTGTATCTTGAAAACGGATGGCGTTACGACATTTTTTTACTAAGCAAACCCAACTTATTTTGCAATGTTCGACATACCCTAGCAAGGGGGTTAGGTTTCTTTGAAACACCCTGTATATCATTCAAATACGAGGTGAATGTGAAAGTGAGTTTTTTTGAACAGGATATATATCTCACCAAAATAAGTTGTTTGGCGAAAAATTGCTCACATAAAATATTTAAGATAACGGAGGTTCAGGTATTTGATGACTTTTGCTTCAATTTAATTCACATCCAATTTCTTATTCCTCACCAATCAGAATACGAAACGTGAAAAGCAAAACGTAAAATACTAGGTTGTGAACACCACTTTATTCCGTATCAAAATCTTCATTTCAGTGGACGAACAAAGAAATGACAAAGGATGAAATGTTTGAAATAAAGAGATAAATATGTCAATGTCATAATGACTTAATGACATATATACACTATACAATTTCGTACGGACATGAATATGATCATGCAAACCGTTATTTTGTACGAGTTAAAAGTTGTTAAAGTGATTGTGCTGTGTTTATTGTGGCATGCACATCTATCATCATCTCTGAATGGTGAGTATTGGAACATTCAATTATCTCTATCTGTATTATGCAATAGAAGCAGTTTTTACTCAACATCCTTCTGAAATTGATAATCAGCACCCAATAACTTTACTGAATGATCTTTGAAAGAATACTTGATTCCATCTTCATCAGCTTCTCTGGCATATTGAATGCCACAAGTGTAAAGATCGAAGATGCTCCTACTTCCCCTTTGGAATTCTCAAACAGGATGTACCAAACCTCAAAATGCAAGGGTTGCGTGCAAGATCTGTCTGATGACCGACCCTGGAGGAAACATTGAAACACAAACTCATAATTCTCATTTGTTTACAAAGGAGTTAAATAGTTTTTGACAATTATATTGGCATAAGAATCGCGTTTGTCGGCTATTAATTGATTAAAGCATGCCATCACATCGTGCTGTTGTACAATGCACAAAAAATGCTGCGGGAAACGTAGAAACCCGATTTTTCAGGTAGGTACATTGTGATCTAGAAGTACTATAGTGAGTATTTCTCTCTGCACATGACTGCGAAAACTTGAAGAACTTCTGACAGAGAGGTTTTGTCGGGAATGGACTGAATCCAGGAGTATGAGGCAGGCGAAGACCTCCATTGATAGGTCTTCGATACGTCTCACCCAATCCCTCCTGAATATGCGAAGAAGCCAATGCAGAGTTGTCACTGGCTTACTAACTGGACACTGCCGCCTTAACGGACATCTGAACATTCTGGGCATCTCCGATGACCCAACGTGCCGTTTATGTCTCGAAAACGACGAAACTCCCATCCACATAATATGTGAATATCCTGCGCTAACACAGCTCAGATGGCGGAGTTTCGGACAAACGACTCTTCCAGCGGAAGGAGCGCCAAACATCCCGTCTACCGACATCCTAGCCTTCGGCAGAGCTGCGGGACTCTTATGCATGAAGGATGCCATACTCACGGGGCGACACAATGGAGCCACACTAGCGGTCTAGCTGTCTGGACTTCGACAAGTCCCCCCGATGCTCACTCACTCACTCACTCACTCACTCACTCACTCACTCACTCACTCACTCACTCACTCACTCACTCACTCACTCACTCACTCACTCACTCACTCACTCACTCACTCACTCACTCACTCACTCACTCACTCACTCACTCACTCACTCACTCACTCACTCACTCACTCACTCACTCACTCACTCACTCACTCACTCACTCACTCACTCACTCACTCACTCAGATATCATTTTGAAACTTGGACATCTCTCATTGGAATTCCTTCTGCAAGAGGAGCTGATAGAAGTGATCGTTGAGTTTCTGAAAGAAGGTAAGTAGATTGGATTCATGTTATTGTTACCGGACGAAATCGATTTTAGGATGAACTAGTTTTTCCTAGGCTAGGCATGTTCACTCTTTTAGCGGTATTAACTTTCATTGCAGAAGTGGCAGAAGGAATTCTAATGAGGAATGACAAAATTTCATAGTGAAAACTATAGGAGATCACTATTTACCTGAAAAATCATATTCCTCCGTCTCTCCCTGAATTTTTCATGCATTGTAGAACAGCTCAATGTGATGGCAAGCTTGAATTGATGAATAGCCCAAAAAACACGATCTGTAAAAAACTATTTGAATTCTTTGATTCCTTTGTGAATAAATGAGAAAAGTAAGATCTTTGGAAGAAGTCCATGGTGAGTGAGGTTCTGTTTCAATATTTCACAGATATCCACAACCTATATACCGATTAACAAATGGAATATCTTGGAACTCGAGAGAGTAGTAGATAATTGTAATTTTTGGGTTCTGAATTCAAGTTATTGGTGCTTTTTGTTTTGATATTATGTTACCCAATGAGCTTCTCGTTTTCGGTTAAGTGACATCAGATTCTGAATCATCAATGGGACCACCTGTATATCTTGCCATTTCTATGTTCGTTCCGATAAAACGATTCCAACAAACTACCACAGTTGTGGAATAAGACAATTATAGAACTTGAGACACTTCAATATTTTTCGTCCCCGACGATTACAACGAATGTCTGAAACGAGCAGTGGATGAAATATTTGACAAAAGAAGAAAAACTCAGAAGTCAATACCACAATAATTCAAAAAATGAACGAAAATGACAATGAGAGTAAAACAACTACTTTCTTGGCTATACAGTGTGTCCCACTCACCATGCTCACCATGGGTATCTTTTTAACGGTGAGAGATACGAGGTCGGTTGTCAAGACCAACTATAATGTGAAAAAATATTTTGATAAAATCTATTCGTTTTTGTTTCATACGCAAAAAACAGATTTTGATCATTTTCATGTCTCCTCCGTAACTTCTTTACTTATGAAAATATTCAAATCGGAATTTCACATTCTCATGGCAGTTTTTCAAAGTGATTTCGAAAAAAATATGAAATTTATACCAACTCTTCTAGAATTTGAGATATCAGCACCAACTTTAGTTTTTCAAATGTAGGTCATAGCTCACTATGACTTAGTTACAAATAACTTTTTTTTCTCTCACAGATGATATGTCGCAGTAATAGTTTTGTGTTGATAACAACGGAGTTATCGTCATTTATACAAAAATAAAAATCTTGGAGCAGCCATTTTATTCAATTGATGGCGGACAAGATTTAGTCCGATTCCATTCAAAATTGGTGAGTGGGGGTTTTCGAGGTCGGAGATCATGACTTCTCTGTTAAAATTCATAAATTCAAGATGGCGGCTTCCAAATACTTTTTTGTTTTTGTATAAATGACGATAACTCCGTTGTTATCAACACAAAACTATTACTGCGACATATCATCTGTAAGAGAAAAAAAAGTTATTTGTAACTGAGTCATAGTGAGCTATGACCTACATTTGAAATACTAAAGTTGGTGCTGATATCTCAAATTCTAGTGATGTTGGTATAAATTTCATATTTTTTTCGAAATCACTTCGAAAAACTGCAATGAGAATGTGAAATTCCTATTTGAATATTTTCATAAATAAAGAAGAAACGGAGGAGACATGAAAATGATCAAAATCTGTTTTTTTGCGTATGAAACAAAAACGAATAGATTTTATCAAAATATATGTTTTCACATTATAGTTGGCCTTGACAAACTCCACATTTGGCGTCATTTAACCGACCTCGTATCTCTCACCGTCAAAAAGATACCCATGGTGAGCATGGTAAGTAGGACACACTGTATACCACGCAGAACATTGGATTACATCCTTTCGAAAAATATGCGATAATTCGTATAGACGAATAAAATCGCAAGTGTTTTCTTCCAGAGCACCGAGCTGCGCCTAAGTGATTCAGGAACGCGTGACTACCGGCAGACCGGTTTCGAGCTGTTGGCTCTCATCAGTGCAGGGCTGTCCCAGATAGCTTCTTGACCACTATCTGGTGCGACCTTGACCCACACCTTAAAACCATCCCATCCTTTATACCCCACGAGATGTTCAACGTCCGCGAAATGAACGCGAACGCCAAACGCCACCTTCCAAGGAACATCCCTGTACTGATGAGAGCCAACAGCTCGAAACCGGTCTGCAGATAGTCACACGTTCCTGGGCCAATGAGGCGCAGCTCGGCGTTTAGGAAAGAGACACTTGCGATTTCATTCGTCAATACGAATTATAACATAGATTTCGGGAGAATGTGTTCCAAAATTGGAGGCAAACGGCCTGACCGACTGGGTTGAGATTTGTAATACGTGAAACAACAAAGAAATACCAAAGATTCTTGAAGAATGAAAATTAGTGTAAGTATACAGGGTGTCTGTAAAAGGTCTTCACAAAAACATACCACATATTCCCTAGACCAAAATAGGTCGATTTGAGTAAAATTACCTCAGTACAAAGTTGCATCGTTTGGGCTCCAGAGAGCCTTGAAGTTACAATTTTTAAATCGTTTTTCCCATATGAATTTGAAACAGCATACGCGATTTTGCTGAAATTTGGTATATTGATAGTTTGAGTTTTATGTGGTGAAGAGAATTTTGTTAGAATTTTGTCCGATAATAATACATAGGCGTAGAAGTTGATTTTTTAAATAATTGCACCTTTGAAAATTCTACGCCAATGGAAGAAAAAAAGTTTGAGTATGAAATTCAGATTGCGCAACTCATTAACTTTAAAAAAGGTACTCTTGATAAGACTTGATTGCTCTCATGGTTCTGACGAAATCTGCATTTTAGTAATTTTAGAGCATAAACAATAATTATTATTAAAATACAAACTTTGTCGAAACCATGAGAGTAAATCGAGTGCTATCAAGGGTACTTTTTTGTAGTAAATGAGTACCCAATCCAAATTTCATACGCAAACCCCTTTTCTTTCATTGGCGTAGAATTTTCAAAGGTGCAATTATTAATTATAAATTTTGACATATATATGGAAAAAACGATTTAAAAATTGTAACTTGAAGGCCCTCTGGAGCCCAAACGATGCAACTTTGTACTGAGGTAATTTTACTTAAAACGACTTATTTTGGTCAGGGAAATATGTGGTATGTTTTTGTAAAGACCTCTCACAGACACCCTGTATAATAGTAGCTTACAAGAATTCAAAAATATAACGAAAAATATGTACTATAGATACGTGCATAGATCAGAACGACTGCCACAATAGTTATTCTTGTATCTAGAGCGCGAAATGCTACTTTGGTGATTTTTTAACGAGGCGTAGCCGAGTTAAAAAAATAGTCGAGATGACCAAAGTATTTCGCGCTCGAGTTGTAAACAAAATTTTTTCACAAACGTCAAAAAATATAGTTCTAAAGTAAAAATATGCTCAGCTTGATATAATAAATAGTGTTGAACTGGCTTAAAAGGCCTCCCCTACCCTCCTTAGATACGCACGATTGTCCATGAACATAATAGGAATTTCCTTTCGTGCGCACCAAGAGTTAAAACAAAGTTATTGTTGAACATTCAGAAATAAATGATTTCGTGGTTGTTTGCTCGATTGAGAACCATAAAGTTGAAATATGAATATCTCATATATTTTATATAAAAATGCGCGA